ATACGCGTAAATGGGATCGAGTTTGATCGGTATAACGAGGGAACTCCTTGTTAACGGTAACAATGCCACTACGTGGAATTACCCGGAAACAAAGACTCGGGCTGAAAATCGTTTAAGATATTCGAGAATCCAGCACAGAACGGCAGCGTGTCGTGCAACTTTCATCGGAGGCATTTTTCCGTGCGTTCAGTGCCGTAAGAGTAAATCGTCTGACCAGTTTTTTCGTCGGCCACTCTCCTGCGTAATGTTACGCAGCCACGTTCGTCTGGCTTGCTTCGTGAAGTAGCCGCTTGAGGTGGTGCGACAAGAATATTCGTAGTAGATAAACAGGCAGATTATTACTGCGAGTAGGAGTTATCCGAATGATTTGAATAGTAACGACTCGAAATAGAATTTACTCACTATGGACACCTACGCTTACTACGGGATGATGTCTTGCGCTGGTAACATAATAAAATCTGTAAGTATTGCCAGCTCCGTATATGTATTTCGTAAAGGATTCGCATTGAGCGGTATCGAAAAATATATGAAAAATCCTTGATAACGATCGTTCACGTCGCTCGGAGACTAGAGCAAACAATCGTTTCTTTTCCTGTATGCTTTGGCATTTGCCTCAAGATGTTTGCGAAGCTTTTAACGCGGATGCACTTCTGCCGATGCATTGAGAAAGGTATGTGCCGGAATAGATGAAATTACTCAATTTATTTATAACAATGCTTTTGAAATTTTTTATACTCCCGAGGAAGATTTTTTTAGTCAATTGTAGTTTAAAAAAAAAAAGAACGTTTTACATTTTTTGGCATTGGACAGGCTTACCAACGGATTCTTGATTGGTCGCTCGAGTAGCAGAGTCAATGAAATTTGACGTTAATGATAATTCGTAGCAAAAGTCTAGACGGTTCGATTGCATAATCTTGCGAAGATTTGTATAATTGAATTTATTTATACATATATAGGACGTGTGGTGAGGTGGGAGAATATTTTATTAAAACGCAATTAGGAACAGTTAATTAAATTTCTTCCTCCTCCTTTCTATTATAATATCCATTTTATTATTGTCATAATGAAATGGACATTCTAATAGAAAACGATAAAAGATAATATACTTATGAAACTAAGACGTCGCTTATAATGATGCAATTTTTAAGTAGCAACCATATCGATTCAATAAACCGGATTAAATTCATTGATTTAACGTGTGACGCGCGAAATAAGCGGAACTAGACTAAAAAGGAAACTCGTCCCGAGAAACTTTTCACCTTTAGGTGGTTCAGTGGGACCACGCAATTCATAATCGGTAGTCTGCATATTTATATTTCAGTTTGCAAATCGATACGAAAGTCACTTCAGACATGCGCGAGGATTAAAACAGATTATTTATAGGCTAAATTCTCACTGCCGTGAATTTCTAATAACTCTAATGTCTATTCGAACCGTAGATCTAAACCTTCGTGACGTTTATACTTGAAAAATCAAATTGATCGTTTATTATTTTATGCGACGTGGTATTCGATCGGACCCGATAATACACCTGACCCATTGGTACGGCACAGGTTGTGGACGGCACTCGGACGCCGACACGTAGACTTACTTAAAGCCAGTCAGCTGTGTGTCAGGGGGCCAACCTAACGGTGCAACACTCTTACGATCACAGCATCCGCTGCCATTTGCCTCATTCATACCGTACGATCATTACCTGCCCACTACCACTTCCGATCGACTATCGTTTCAATTTTCAAATTGCGTAATCCAGCACGATTCGATAGAAACACTGTCGATGAAGTCGATAAATTGATTTATTTGTATATCTATGAAAAAAAATTATTTCAATATTTTATTTTTCAAATAATATTACACATCACGAGAATCGGTAACCCGATCGAGTATCAATGTTAACCGGGTGTAAGATATTTGCCATAGTGTATACATATCACAGTGGTCCTGCATATGCAGGATATTAACATGCTATCGAGATGTACAGATATAGATACAAGAATGAATACGTACGACGTGCCTGAGGGCGCGTTCGCGCGGAGAAGGAAACTGTGTCACTGAGCGAGGTAGCTGTCTGCTGGGACCGCTTCGTGGGATCCTCCTCAGGGACAATAAGCAATTCATTTTAATTATAATACTGATCGGAAAACACCGTTACTCCACTCGAGATAAGTCGAATGGCCTAACGAGCCTGTCCGCGAAATGGCCGTTGCTACAGTCGTCCCTTTTACGTTTGCGATGTGTGTCAATAGGCGCGCCTCGTGACACGCCGTCAGAGGACTGTAGGTTATAGGTATCGGACGACTCTTGCAATTAATTCTCCATCTTCAATTCTCTAGGATCTTGACCTCTTCGTGCAAGATTATTCTCTTCCGTAACATTTCATTATGGGTACCTATAATGTTACTTCACGAAACAATCAGCATCTTCATCATGCTGACCTCGGCTCATCTTAGACATTCAGGTTTGACATCTCTGTACCTGAAATCATTGTCAGGAATTATACATAGGTCGAGTGATAAAACTCGGCAGACTGGAAAGTATGCTTAATCATATAAAATATTGATCAAAGATATATGACATTTATGTAAATATATGCTCTATGTAAAACGTCCAGTTGACATATAATAATTTAATACCTGGAGAAACTTCATTTCCCTTCTATTAGTGACTCGTGCTTCTATAATGCACAGTGCGTAGATGACCATAACGTTTGCGACAGCTGAACATCGTTTCTTATATTTTGTTCCCCGTTAAAACTCATATCGTGCAAAAAGCATTAGGCATTAAAGGCTATTCGTTGCTCAGTGACGTTTTCATGCAATCAAGAGAATTTTCTTATATTCTTTTTCTAATACAATTAATCACTACGGGTAATCGAAGTGGTTATTCTTCCGGCTTCGTTTTTCTCTTTCTTCTTTCTTTCATTCCTATCCCATTCAGCTCAGGCTTGCTAGCATTGCGTGCTGGCATCACTGGATCGTTCACGGGAGCAGTACGATATCACGCAGTGGTAGCAGACCTCTCGTGTCAGACATATCGGTATTTATAGCGCGAGCTAATGGCAACTAGGAATGGAACCTGCTGGTGGTCTGGTGGTGCTTTCTGCTATGGAAATTGTTAGTGAGCGTTACTGTTTCTTCGTGATACTTTCATATAGATTACTGACCATTTATGAATTTGCAATCGGTACATCGTGATGGTAGTTTATGCATATGGGATTCCGGATTTGTAAATACGTATGTAATATGATAATACTGTTTAGTGCGAATGACTTTTACGGGATTTTTATCGGATCTTATTTGATTTCATACAAATCGGACTGGAACTTTTGAAACTAGTAGGCTATCCATGTCGAATTTTATGCAGATGCTTTCCTCGTCGTATTGCGAGATATTGATGTTTGGTTTACACGAAAACGCCCATGGGCATTGAACTTCAGCGGATCTTCAACTTCACACTTGACTCTTCCAGAGTCGGATAACTTTATGTAAAGATACTTTCACGGGATTTAAATTATTGATTGGATTTAAAATGAGGCATTTTAATATTAACGTAATTTGATCGGGTGCCGTTATAAAATTTTTTTTAAATACTTGCGTACCGAGGTTTTGCAAATTTCTGTCCTCGATTATTGCTTTATTATTCTTCGTTAATCTTCCCACTGTTAAGTGACGAGGAGATTCATAACTCGTGTGTCGACTGTCGGAAGCGATGAATTTTCAAAAGTTCGTTCCACCCGCTTGCTGCCATTTATAGACGCGCACCGCAAATCCGGTATGCATATTCATATAACCAAGCTCGAACAAGCTATAAATATTAAAAGCGAACCATCACGAGTCGTTCTAATCGTCCGTCGTACTTGAACTTTCATATTTGATGAAAAAAATCTTCGGAATCAATCAATAGGAAACACTGATTGAATTATTATTGTTATTGTTATATCAATCAATAGCAACCACTCTATCGATTTCTTTTATTCTAACAGCATCTCTTCACTGTACATCTCATCGAGGAACCGGGAGCATAGCTATGCTGATACGATCAAGGCATAATGATAAAAAATATGCAATGTCCATTAATGCGTAGCCGTATACTATTTACAGTACCGTACCGAGGTACCAGCGAAAGAGCATTCTAGAAACACTGCCGCTTTGCGGGTTACCCCTTTTGCGTATGTGGGTCGCAGATGGTTTACGCTCGCGGAAGAAATGCTTGCCGACCAGAAGAAGAGGGGAGGCTACCTCTGGTCAGTGGCCGTGGTAGACCTTAACCGGACGTACGTTAACTCGAAGGTCTTCCTGGGTGGCTCGAGTCATCTGCGAGGAGCGGAGAGAGTCATTCACTTTCACTAATCAAGCGTCGAGACGGCCGCTGGGCGTCGATGATATTTTTTATTTTCCATTTCTATCTCAGGACGTCTACTTGACTGTTTAGCTCGTGCGCATGCGCACAGTCCCATGACGTCTGTGACTTTACTACAGTAAGAGGACTTCAAGTCGAAGGCTTTGAACAGGCGGTTTTTGTTGAATGTATTTCTTTTTTTATACGGCTTTCGCCACGTGGAAAGTCATGGGCCGTCAGTATCGTATGCTTGTGATGATCTGCCTTTTACTACTGGCAATGATCTTGACTTTTATAACTTGCACTCTACACCGGCTGGGGTGAATCCGTTTTATTAAGTTTTTATTGATATATCGTTGGCTGGTTCTTTGAATCTTTCTTATTTCGTTTATCGTGCAGTAGGTACTATACGTTAATGGGTCAGGCATAATATAATGGACCAGCACTTTTAGTGATTGGACCGGATGTCAGTTGACGTTTCAATAGGACTTCTTCCGTTTTTTTGTATTATTGCTTTCCCATTGGATTTCACGTACAGCTGATTATGGTATCGGTCGGTAGTTTCATGAGCGTACGCCATTATGCGTGATCTTACAGTTAATCAGAGCGTCTCTGTTATGACTGGTGCTAATCAGAGCTGAACGCCACTTGGCCTGTTGCAGATGCGAAAACTGCGGGAGAGCGAAAGGAATCATCAGATTCGACTCGCACCTCGCATCGACGAGAAGATCCCCGGCGGTGACCATGCGGTACGTACCTAATTACGTTTAGTTACATAGCCGATGTATTTGTCAGGCTGTCTCTTGGTATTATTGTACGATGACTCGCAACGATGATTTGACACGAGAGTGCAAGACCCCGTGCAATTTCTATTCAGGTCGACTTGTGCAAAGGGGATTGCGAGGCTGTGGCGGAAGTCGAGCGCCTTCGGGAACTCGCCGTGGAGCAGCAGGAGGTCATCGAGGTACTGAGGCAGGCAGTCAAGGTAATTTTATCATCATCATCATTATTATCATTATCGTCATCATCATCATCGTCGCCGCCGTCGTCGTCACAATCAGAATCGCGATTACACTACGTTCGAGGGCAACGGGTGCCTAGCGCCAATTTTCACGCTGCAATTTACAAACACGGGCTGCACGTGCGTTAATTTAATTGAAGACCTTGACAGAGTCTTTTACAAGATATTGAGTTACGCTATGAAGCGAATGAGTTCGTTCCGCTGATCCAGGGGGAAGATTTGTCGGGTGATGCTGAGGTTTTTCTTATTTTAGGAGAAGGAGCGGAAATTGGATCAGTTGTCGAACAAGAAGCGGAAGGAAGAATTTTACAGACAATGGTTAGAACTGGAACCAGTTGCTGAGGTGGACGATGAAGAGGAACACGAGGAAGGTGATAGCGCACTTTCCAGCGCTCCGTCGTCCTTGTCGCCACAACCTGGTGGATGCGGGCAATGGCAGGCCAATGGGGTTACCCGGGAAGCCTATGAAGCTATCATCCTTGAAGTTGACGAACTGCAGACAAAACTGCTGGAAGAGCAACAGGAACTGGCTCATGCCAAAAGTCAGGTGCGGGATCTTGAGAAAGCTCTTCTTCAGGAGGTAAGTGAGCCAAGACGTACATAATGTCAGCTCGACTGAAATAACGTAATAATAATAATGACAAAAATTGTATAATTCAAGACAAGAGGCAGCCAAAACAGCAGACAGGCACTCAGCGACAAGCTACGTGAAGCCGAGGAACGCGAAGCTGCCCTTGTGTCTGAAATCTCCGAACTTCGGGATCAGAACGAACTCCTGGAATTCCGTGTCCTGGAATTGGAGGAAGCGCCATGTACTAGAGACACGCCTGATCCGGCAGACAGCGGGATAGTTTCACCGGAACCGATACACATCTACAAGGTAAACTTCTACGTTCCCACGAGGTTCCGTTTGCTTAGCGTGACAAATTACAGATAGGAACCTATTACAAGTACTTCTCGGTATTCCTGTGACGTCTGAGACCAGGTAGAATAGAATAAAGCTTTTGAGATTTTAATAATCCATAAGTAGTGCTGAATTAGTTGAAATATATGTAATAGGGTCTTTGGTCACTACTGTTAACCAGTAAATGAATATCAACTAGATGACTATGAAAGTGGTACACCGCTTTGTAGTAGAAGAACAGCATACGCGATGTGAATATTTAATTATTTGTGAGTTTGAAAGTTTTTGGAAAATCCTTTCTCTGCATAGATATAAAACCGTGACACTTCTCTTTAACTGTACCCGTACAAATAAGTCTCATATTTTAGCAAATATGTTGGCCACTGGTGTAAAACAGCTAAGTTTATTTTTTAATATTTTCTCATGACCTTTCAGGATCAGTCGAATAAGCAACGAGACCGAGCCGTGGCGACAGTGATACCTTACAACACCTACACACATCCGGTATCTCCGGTACCGCAGAAGACGCCGCTGTCACTTCAGGAAAGCGGGATATTTGACGAGGAGGATGAGACTGAAGTAGAATTGGCGAGTCGGGGCACACAAACTGAAGCTCCAGCTGGTGAGTTGCTCCAGGAAGTCCAGCGTCTTCACGAGCTTCGTGCTCGTATTCAGGAGCGAGCTGTCAAGGTCCCCGTTCCTATAATCGATGCTAAGACCAATTGCAATCCTGAGGTCGTAGGTACTGTGGATACTGCTCAGGTCACTTCTTATCAGGAACGAATCCGCGAACTAGAAGAACGACTCTGTTCTTACGAAGAAGAAGAAGAAAAGCAGCTTTTGGATAAACAAGTCTCGAAGCAGAGGGAGGAGGAACTCTTGGATGAGAATTATCGGCTGACCGAAAGAGTGTACTGGGTTGAGAATGAGTTACGTAATGTAAAAGATAAAGAGAAAAGTGTACGGGAAGTGGGGACGATAACTGATATCCAAATTTTCTCCATGGGTGATTCATCTTCGCTTGCCATGACTGAAAAGCTCCCACTCGGTGAAAATACACCTGGTAAAAACTCAAACGTCGTCAAAGACACTGTTGACGTTTCTTCAGTTTCTCATTGCGGAAAGATCTTCCATCATGCTATGGAGAAGTTGGCAGGTGACACCGCCTTAGAAATGAAGGATTATGGTACGTCGGATGACTCGAAGAAGTTCTTGGACTTGGGACAGTTAGGATGCGCCAAGGATGAATGCATCGAATGCAGAAATCTTTGGATCGTTTGTTCCAACAAAATTCAACGACTCACGGAGGAGGAGCGGCAGATGAGAGAGCAGATATCCGATCTGGAGCGTAGAGAGGAAGTCTTCGTCAAGACTCTTCAGCAAGCAGATAGCATGTGGTTACAGCTAGAGTCAGAGTATGCTACTCAACTGAAGGAACTGCGAGATCAGTTGAGCAAGAAATTCGATGTCAATCAAAGATTGACGAGTCGTCTCTGTGACCTGGAAGAGGAGGTTCGTAGGACCACCTCTCGTCAAAATCCGTTCCAAGGGATGTGGAATTTTGTGAAGAGTAGTACCAAAGACGAGGTCGACTGTTCGATGATGGTGGAATCATGCTGTGCGGAACCAATGGAGATAGATGTTGACGAAACGCCGAGTTCAAGGAACTCGTTCAAACAAAATGGTCATAAAAATTTTATTGACAAAGAACCCGAAAACGTGGAAGAGCCGGTACCTGCAACCTCAGCGGGAAGAGTCACTGCCGACGGTGAGGCTGCTGCAGGAAATAACAGAGGTGAGAGTGCCACAGTGAGTTCCAGCAAGGCCGAGGTCACGAGGTTCACGCAAACAGATGAGTTTACCGTGACGCTCGGGGACTGGCGCCATTCGGCCAAAAGTAACCAACACGATAAGCCACGGTCAACACAACCTGTTCCTGATGGCATCGTGAAAACGGAGCCGCCTCTCGTTTCCCAGGTGGAATCGGTGTCACGCCATGACGCCACGGCGTCCGTAGCACATAGTCGAATCACGGTAAGTATTTCTTTGCATTGTCGCCAGGTTTATTATAGGCGAAGTATCTGAAACTGATCCTAATGTGCTTTTACAGGTTGACGTTCCTTCGGTCCAAGAGATGGATTTGCAACAACCTGAATTAGCTAAGGAGGCCAGAGAAGAAGACTTCGCTGCCGGAAGCACAGAAAACTCCGTTGAGGCAGATAGAGAAGTATCGCAGGCCCTGGCCGAGGAGGAACACGCCGATGAAGAGGAAGCGGTCGTTACGTTTACGGAAAGAGAACCGGAAAAGAAGGTTAGACACTGTCAGAATGAGATTATGAAAAGGGAAGGGTGGGCAATGAGAGCGCGGAACATAAAAGCTAGGGCTGGCAGTTTTTTTAAACGAAATCAGACGAGGACCCAATCACGTCGATTGGTTTTATATCAGGAGATTTGCGTCTAGAAGATCCTCCCCGAGACAATTTTACGTATTCTGAGTTATTTCGTTTAATCTGAAGAGTCGTATGTAGATTACGTCTAGGGACACTCATCTTATTGCGACGTGACTTCAACGCGATATCTTTAACACGGGAACGGATTGCACACGATCCCACCAAGAAGATCAAGAGATTTAAAGATCTGGAGCAAATAGTTTATCACAGATTTTCCAAGGATCAAACCGTCATCGTTCACCTTCGAAGACGTAATGAGTTTATACCGATGAGAATTTCACGATAAATAAAAAAATAAAACGAATCTGACTGTTCGACGAAGAAACACTATCTACTTGAGAAGAGTAGTGAAATACCAGAAAAAAAGAGTAGAAAAATACCAACGTCAACGAAAAGCTACGTAACGGATAGCCCTTCGTATAGACAGGAAGACATGGCCAAGCATTGCCACTGCATTAGAGAAGACTGAGGGAACTTGAAAAGTAACCTTTGGAAGTGATGATTCCAGGCACAGAAAAAAAAAACTATCAAACTGCAAGTTTTACGAAAAAAGAACCCGCATACAATGTATATGCATGTTCATGCACAAACATTTGGCACACTCTATCCGGTGACGGCAGTTTAGAAATGGAGACAGGATATCCGGCAGGATTCGTGCCGTATTTCAACAAGGACGATTTGAACAGGACTATGAACATCCTGGGAATACGCGAGTCTGTTCCTCGTTGCACTTTATCCTATGACCCAGTTTGGCAGCTGGTTCTGAACTGGCCCAAGGTCAGTCTGTCAAATTGTCGCTCTTTATGCCAATCTACGCTGCTATCCAATCACTCATACTTCACTTAATGCCGTTCCGGCAGGATCTCTCGTCCGTTCAGGCTTTCTCATATTGCGCGTTTCCCTCATCCTACCTATTTATTTTCTACTGACTCTTGGGTGCCGTGTTTTTTTTTTTTGTATTATTCTTAATCCAATTATTGTCATCGTACGAAATGTCTTTACGTCCAGTAGTCGCCGATTAAAGCGCGAACTCTCGTAGATCAGTTGGCTCTCGTAGATCTCGTAGAACTTTTGGATCGGAAATGACGTACGTACTAGGTGCTTGTTCCTCTTTTCTTTCAGTCTGGTGCGCTTACGGTGGTGGAATTTATTCTTTTGATTTAGGTAATGCTCGTCTTTGGAAGATCAATTTGGGGTTGTCCGAGGATGTTGAACTTTTACAAAAAATAATTTGATTTACTTTTATAATATTGTGTGTAAGCTGTTTATGAAAGAAATTTTGGGCATCTTTGACATATCCCAATGAGGATCTTCCTGGTTCGGGTATTAGAACAGTTTCGAAACGGTATGGAAACGATGTCTTTATAATATTATTTTTGTTCTACTGCCCGAACAGAAATACGCTCGCTTTCTATACCATAATGTTTTATTAACTTAGCGAAATTTTCCTTCCGTTAATTAGTTACATAAATTACGCAACGCTTCGTGTTCATGAGATCAATGTCTGAACATTGACAGTGTAAATTATGTCTACTGGACAGAATGGATAGTCCAGAAGGGAAGGATTTTTTTTGGGTTTTAGTATTTTCTTTTTTTTTTTATTTCTTTGTTTTATCTTCTAAACTTTTAATATATACCGAATAGCAGGATCATTGAACTTCGAGAAACTAGTTTTATTTATCTCTACCGACTCTTAATTTTATCAATGACTTTTCGTACGTATCCTAGAGTTTAATTGAATTTGCTAATCGGTATACTTTTTAACCTTTTCTATCTCAAAAGAGTATCCCATCTGAGCAGTAACATTTTGCGACAGATTATCTACTTTCGCTGGAGGTGAAGGTCTCAACCTTTCTTCGTTGCCGGTACCATTTTACTCCAGTCGGTGGCCTTTACTTTCGCAGCGAGCTTCTTGCGCGTCCAGTTCATCCTACAGGATGTGTCGAGGAACTGCGGTTTTCGAAGCATCAATAAGGTGAGAACACGTTTCACATGGAAACTGGTATTACCTGAAACCACTAAGATACCATCTTGCTTTACTATCGCTTTGTCATATCTTTCTTTTGTTTCAGGACAATACTAGCTGGCGCTGCTTGGTAGGCCCAAGTGACGTTCAGAAATGGTACGTCCTGCCGCACGATGGAAGTTGCCTCCAAATTTTAATTCATCGACAGAAACGACATTGTCACCGGTCGTTCCCAATGCATATCGCATAGCCCTAAGCGTGAAATGCGTCACGAACTGGAGCACAAAAACAAAAGCAATTAAACATACATACGTTACGTGCCTTACTATTTCCTATTTCATACCAAGAATATGGTAGCTTGAGATTATCAGTAGGCCATAGTAAAGCTTACAGATGCCCATGGTGCTTCCTATAAAATTTCGGACCAAGCGTCATGTATATAGATGAAACTGAAGGGGAAAATATTACTTGCCCCTTCTTATCGTTTCACTTGATTTTTCATTGCCGCTTTATTTGTACTTTCTCGTTGCATTTCATCAACGATTCATTCACGTAGAACAGATCTTTATATATTCATTCTGTTGCTTCATATTCTATGTAATGACGCTTGGTCCAGCGGATGCGTCGCTGCCTCTAATTTCTTTTGAGTTTAAATGTGGGATATTGAAAATTTTTTTTTTAAAAAGCTGTTCTATTTAATATCGTCACGGTCGAAGCGCAAGGTGATAAAATACATTTACATTCGTGTCGATAAAAGAACTGCGATTTTTTAGTAACTAATTTTTCTCGTTCCCGTATAGAGGCAGCGTATACGACCACAGATGCGATAACGATTTTACGTGAACGCGCATGAAGTATATCTGTATCTCTTTTTTTTTTGTAACGAACTCATCGGTTTATTGTCCACCGTTGAAATTAGTCGAAATATTAAAAAGTAAAGTCTTCAGAAGAAATATAATTTTCCTATGAATTCTAATTCGAAGATAACTTTTGCAAAATATTTAATAAAAAGGATTGGTCAAGGAGACGCCGATTTTATAAACGAAACGACTCGACTGCGATACGACAAGTTATACGCACACGTGTGCATGGATATGTAATTTTTCTAGCTTGCTAATTGATTTCTCCGAGTTATTTTTTCTCTTTGTATTTGATTAACTTCACCGTTAAACCGCGAAGGACTCTCTGCTTTCTCGGAGAGAGAGAGAGGCCGTTTCGATTTCGTTTGATTGGCCCAACAGGTGCAGGTGTGTTGAACGTAATTATTATAAGTTTAAATGCTGCCGTGAGTAAGAATCCGTTAATGAGCATAAGCGAAATAAGTTAGTAATTAGGTACTGCCTCTAGTCGATTTATTTTCTAACGTTCTCAGTCCTACATCGTTTATCGCGATTATTGCTCTCACCGCAGTGCTCGATTAGTTTATCTTTTGATTGATTTTATTTGTATTTAAGTCGACTGGCCGATGCTACACGTGCTTCCGATTTGTACATATATAATAGTGTTACCCTCCTATGCACAATACGTATTTTAAGGACTCACCGTTGTTATGGTGTATAAGTAATGTATTTTGATTGAATATAGATTGTCCAATAAATTTAATGAAAGTGTTAATCACCTTCAATTAATTCCATAATGAATATGTATCTTAAATTTTACAGCTCAACCTAGAAATCTACGATGAATTTATTTCAAGTTCGCTGTCCAATGTCAGAGTTATAATTACAATTCCATTCATTAATAACTATTTTAAGTAGGGATCTGATTAATTTAATATATTCTTTGCACGTATCCTATCTGCTTTCACCAAGTGTCTGCCATTGGAGGTAGTGGAATTCTGACTGCGATTTATTTTATTTCCCGACCTGAATAAAAGTTGTTTTTATATTAAAAGAATGTACCGAGTTTACTCAGTCCAGATGCACTATCTGAAGTTGGCAAGTTCATTTTGTTTTTATGGTAAAACTATGTTCAAGTTGTCCATTTAAACTGAATAACCCGGTATAATACTTAAATACAGGACATAACGATAACCTATACGTCATTCTCTATCTGCATTACTTTTACTTGTTTATTCGTCCAATTAGGATATTACCTGCCAATTGTTGTTTGCGCTTTTAATGAGTCAGGAGTACTCTTCATATTTACTACTGCACCCATTAACAACGAAGGCAAAGTGCACTCCATGAAACGTAATCTTTCTACCAGAGCAGCTTGTTTCCTCTCAAGTAATGCATTTCGTTCCTCATAATGATTCAGTACATGTTTCCAATAACTGTTTCCTGGGGTTTTCATCCTGTCCGTTTTCGTAGTAGAAGCAGCCATGTCATTTATATTAGGAATAAATTATATTTCCCGAGTCACAATGAATTTTAACGTCTTATACAATCCGAATGTATCTGCAATATCGTTAAACAAAATTCTTTCCTGAAATTTACTGGACCTGAACTTTTGTTTCACTGACAGAACGAATGTCAAAAATTAAAATTTGTAATATGGCGCGATATCGTGACTTTGATAGAAATTTTTGAAAGTCAATGTGAATGATTCTTCGAGGAATAAAATTCGCTAGTGAAACATGAAGCCTGCATCGACCCTTGTATCAGCTGAAAGTGGTTCATCGTATTCGAATAGCCTTGGCCCTCGGACAAGGAGTAATCATTGGACAGATACGTTAACCTCCTTTCAGAAGAATAAAGTGTCCCTTGAATGCAGACAAGCACAACTTACTAGTAGACTCGAAATTCTTGAGCGCAATTTACCTAATATTTTTCTGAAGATCAGTCAGTCCTTAAAATCTGGTGAAGATGTTCCTGATATAGACCTGGAAAGTATTCTTGCAGAATCAGGAATTCCTACGTGTCCTTGTGCGCCCTGTAGACATCCTGATTGTTTAAAATATTCAGAATATCAGAGCACATGTAACAAACAATCACATGACTTACAATTGGTCTACGATAGAAGAAATGGTTCTTACGCTGATGAAAATTCGAATAAAATGAAGTGTCCAATGGCGTGCAAACAAAATCCTCCAGCATGCAATAGAGCTTCGTATGGAGATTCCAACTCTGTTTCCGTAGTGACCTCGGCTGATCTTGTCACGATCAACAAGGTTCAAGAATTGGCCAAGCAGGAGCGTGAACTGAAGAAACATATAGAGCAGTTAGAAAGCCGGGAAAGGATGTTCATAAAAACATTAAAAAAGGCAAATGTGTTATTAAATGATCCACGTCAAATACATAAAAGTTCATCAACCTCAGCCCATCCAAAAGGGTCGTCTTTCGATAATCCACAATTAATCAGACTACAGAAACTAGAATCTCACAACAAGAAGGTGATTGAAAACATGAATGATTTACGCGAGGACAAGAAGCAGCTGGTGAAACAGACTGAAGTTCTGAAAAATCAACTCAAGGACACGCAGAGGAAGCTTGGTGTTGTTCAAAAAGAAGTATTTGGCGGGGAAATTGTTAGGTGCGATTGTAAGATTCCGTCGAGCAGATCCTTTCAAAGGAAATACAGCTGTCCGTCGCTGATTGCTAAAGATCAAAGCACAAATGAGGACAGTGTCACTCTTATAGAATTGGCTAAACAATTTGAAGAGGCCCTTGAGAAAGTGCAGGTATGGTAAACTGATAGATTAAAGCTCAATATGTGAATAAAATGGAACGTTATGTTTTTCTTGTGAATTTACTTCAGAATCATGGTTTGTGCAATCTCGCCAGTCTCGTAAAGGCAGCCGCGTCAACGTTGAAGGAGCTGAGCAGGGTCGAGGAACAGAAATGCCTTTGTAATTGCAACTGTGATTTTGCTGCGAATGATTATTCCGAAGTAAGGATGAGCCGTCCTCGCGAGCATCCAGGCTTTCCAGGGACGACACGCGGTTCCGCATTTTCTAACCTATCTTCATTTTATTTCCAGAAATGTTAAGGTTCTCCCTGGAAAGCCCGGTGATGCGCATCGATGCCCAAGAAAGGGAGTGTCGATTTTAAGAATTAACGGAATTTCATGGTAACAGCTCGAAGAGACGTTTACCTGCAATTGCGACGACTGGGGACCGGATGAGCTGGGTCCTTCCGGTGAATGGATTTGTAAAAACTGTGGAGGAATACATTACAGCGAATCCGACGTGGCACGATCTATTTCTAAACAAATGCCCGATAAAAAAATGAATATTAAACACTCTGCTAAAACTGAAAATCAGAAAAAATCAATTTGTAATTGTGGATGCGGCACGACCAGTGTGCCGTGCGATTGCGGCTGTAACGATACTAAGAGAAAATTAATATTACCCAAATTCGATGGCAAAAGCAAATCTTCGAGAAAACCAGTTAGTGCTATATCTCAGATGAGCTGCAATCTGGACTGTCTAAGAGAATGTGTAATCAGTAAATCGCAAGCAAATAAGATAAGTCAAGACAGTTCGGAAAATACATTAAAAACTCCTGACAAATTCGGAATATCCAAGAAGCAAAAGTCGATGGAATGCGTGTCTATTGATTGGAGTGATGTAGGAGAATTTGACACACGTTCTGTAAAGATAGGAGTCAATATATCCGGAACACCCGTTACATTGAGTCAGTGCAGTGACAAGACAGTAGACGAGGATAAAGAGGAGGGCTATGTGATGTTATTGAAGAAAGGGAAAGTGAAGATCATGGAAAGTAAATCACCCAGTGGAACCACACTGGCACACAGTAAATCTTTGACGAAGGATTGGCAACCGTGTGTGGATCTTAAAAAAAATTTAATATGTCCAGGGGAAAAGGGTAATGATTTAACTAATATTTTTCTTATAAGTCGACTACATGAGTTCAATATTTTTTAACTGTTTTATATAATTATTATTCAAGACGGCTGTTATTGCATAAAGATGCACGATTCAGGAAATGCCTGTCAGTACAAAAACAATGGTTCGTTGAAGGATGTTAATATTCAAAAAGGATCGAAATTAGCGGATGCGAATTTCTTAACTTCGTGCAGTTCAAAGCCAAGATATAAGAACTTAAACAGTATCCATCATCATTCGAAAATTGTTATGAGTTCATCTTCTAGTGGACAAGGTACAGATATATATATTCATTTGACTCAATTATTAATAAACTAGCAAAAAGTATGAATTTTTATATGCTTATAAGGTACAGACTGCTTCAAACGGCATGATGGCAATTCTTGCGATACAAAAATCGATTCCAAACCACGGATAAAAGCGAATCAGAAGTCTTTGAAGACTACAAATTTACCTGCATTTTCACGCGATAAAGTGACAAAGATAAAGAAGAACAAATTCCCCGTACAAAGTAAGAACCGTAAATCTTTCGTAAAAATTACAAACGTCATTTTCTAATTAAAAAATCTGTAATAAAGATTGTTGTAATATGTTATTTACTACTGTTTGTGTGAAGATAATAAAGACAGATTGGAGTGCGAGGGACAGAATCCATGTGTCGATTGTCTGCGTGAGGAAAATAATGTTGAAAATAACGCATCTTTACAAAATCCTTCCTGGAATAGCGATCATCTTTGCCCAGAGTGTTGGGCCAGAGAGAAAAATCACACGGCATATCCTGTATCACAAAATGTGGAAAAAGTAAACACTAGTAGTCTAAGTAGTCTAAATGCACTATGTCAACTGTTACTTGAGAAAAACGTAGGCGTTTTTTGATACAACAAAACGACATAAATCGTATGAAGCATTATTGTGTAATACGAGCTAAATATTTCGTTACAGTTGTGTCCATGCGGTTGTGGTTTCTCCGTCGATGGTGAGAACGAAACTTGCCCTTGCGGATGTGGTAAACTTGCAGAGTCCCCACCCAGAAAGGATGCTTGCTTTACTACACAGCCAAAAGAAATACGAGCTCTCGCGACCGAGTAAGCTCTACCGATAATATGCGTATCCGTCGGTAAAGCAGGGATTCTATGAAAATATTTTTATAGGTGCGACTGCGAACTTTTCGGCAATTGCAAACTTTGTGCTTGTCCGGAAGACTTTTGTGAAGGACCTAAGGAAAACATCGTTCCGCGACCCTCAAAGTTATTTTCCAATAACGTAAGCAAGGGTGCGCGACAGCGACAGCTGGAGTCGAAATGTCGACAAGAGATTTATACAGATAGCAACAAACGGAAGAAGTTACAAGAGATAATAAGCAGGTGTTGCTATTCGAACAAGAACATGCGGAATAACTTTGACGAGGAATGTTCTTCTCCGACAACCATAAAACCTACGTTGTCCGGTTAGAAATGAGTATTTCCCGTTAATTACAATTTTGAAATATGTATACGTTACTTTTAGGACTTACGACGGCCGTTGAGATTCTGCGTGCGAAATGCCGCAATAAAGACAGCATAATTGCCGTTCTGGCTAAAGAATTGAGAGGATCCGGAAGTATAGACAAAATCACGAAAAATTTAGCCACACCTTGTCTGAGTTCTACCGCGTGGGATTTTGATAAGTGTGCGTTATACAATTATCTGACTGGCATCGAAATTGTAAAATGTGACAAGTCAGCTGCTTCCGATTCTGCGAATACAATTCCAAAACCAAGTAATTTCAAAGTCGTTCGAGAAATATGCGGCTGCGTTTTACTCTCGTGGGAAATGCCAGAAGACATCAGTCGGATCAAAGGATACAAGATCTTCGTGAATGGGTTCGAACATTTAAAATATCTAAAATTTGTATGAAAAAATTGCCTGATATTTTTTTTGGCACTTCATTCTCCTTTTTATTTTCAGATACTTTGCGGCTCACGTAAGATCTCCCACACGTACAGAAGCTTTATTGGATCCATTAGATATTTCAGAAGAATGCACTCTCAAGCTATACGCCATAGATATTAAAGGGAACCTCTCTGATTCCGTAACTACAATTTACCAATCATGTTGTCCAGGGGATGATTGAATTTTCCAAGTGATGTCTCAATTTCAATTTATTTAATTCATGACTTTTGTCACATGTACGTCCACAGTGTATTATTATGCGATTACCATAATAGGTGAACGATTAAAACACTGTAATTTTTATTAAAAATTTATTCGAATAAGAAATACAATATTTTGGTGTATATTTTAACGCAATTTCCTCCTTGGTATGTAAAACAATTTCCTGCGATCAATAAGATCCTCAAGACTGTTCAGGTCTGGTAAATTAGCCGGGATGTCAAATTGTACATTAAGTAATGGCGATTGTGTTGAGAATTGAAATAATTTTGGTCTTTTGTTATCATCACTAGGTGTGTAATATGCTTCTGTTGTTACAGGAATTCTTGGATAATAGGGATCAAATTCTAATTCATTGGGTATCAATGGTTTCAATGAGGCAGTTAATGAATCGACAGGAAGATCAGTGTGGATTAATGGCAACGGAGTTGTTGTTGAAGTCAAGGAAAAGGCCTGAGTATGATTTTGTATCGATCTTAAAGTTTCACTGTAAGGATAATTCATATTATGAAAAGTGAAGGGTGACTTGGACATGTATGGTAATGGCCGAGGAGTTAGTGTTAATTGGAAAGTTCTGCTTAATTCTCGAATATGAGAGTTATCCTGATTAGAATTAAAAACAGTTCTCGGAGTGGTTAGAGTCCGCCTCGCAAAACTCGATGCGCTAGCTCTATTCGTTTTCGTGTTGTCTAGTCTGTCAAAAAAATTGGAAAAACCAGGAAAATTATTGAAAAATCCTTGTTTAATATTCGAACCTTGAGTTACCGGCCGCGTACTGGCAATTTCTCCATTTGCATTGTACGAATTGCATCGCTCTATTTTCTCATTGCAATTTACAATACCTGTTATCGGTTTGGTAACAGGATTCGAGACTTGATTGTTTTGACGATTGAAAGAAGTCTTAGTATCCTGGTAACGGCCATTGGTGATACCAGTTCCAAGAATATACACTGGTTTTTTATTATTCATATATTTTTGTGTCGTATTCATGGTAAACGGCTTCTGAGTTATTCGAAAAGATCGTGCTGGAACTGGAGTGGTATATTCCTTGAAAGAAGGAAACTGAGAATTTCTGTTCGGTCCGGTTTTGTCGAACAAGGATTTGGCAGTAGTCCTGTCTTCGTGCGATTCTGTAATCTTTAATACGCGTCTGCCTCTCTGGCAATCAACCAGGTGAGCGTGATCACATATCATGGCTTCCTGTCTAAATGCCGTCTCCTCGGGACAATTGTAGGTAAATTTATTACCCTGATCATCGCAGGTATGATAAATGCGGCAATTGGCCTCGATGTCAGCATAAAATCCCATCGCTCTACCCACGCATGAGAAATTCGAGTATATTGGACGCGGCGTGGTGTTCTGTAATGTCAAATAGATGGAACGTGTCTATGAAAGAGATGAGATGCAAACAAATAATAATTATAATAAATTTCCTAAATAATAAACTCATTATGATGATATATACATTAGGTGCAATGAAATACGTTTAATTGAAATTAACCAGGAACAAAGCGAGTAATAAGTGAGTGACGGTCAGAAAATTTGAACCATTTTTTGACTATTAAACTTTTTTCTTAATAATAATAAAGTATAATTATATAATTATATAATTAGCTACCACTTACGAAAAATTCCTCACAAAGACATGGAATGTGTAGGAAGCACAGGATACCAAGAACACACCAGACGTAATAATCCATGTCAAATGTCACAGGTAATACAGTAAACGCCGTAAACACTGTTTAGATGTATTTTCACGATATGTTTGAGCATAAAAGCAAGGAGTGTGTAGCACGCAACGAGATGAGCGAAGTGAAAGTGAAGAGGATAAGTTTAGGATGTAGGAGAAGAAGTCAAGCACCTCCTTCTACCGCCGTAACGTATCCTGATGGATTCAGAGTTTTGAATTAACAACAGAAATTTGTGCGAATCAGATGATGACGCAGGAGCACGAAGAATTCTACGTGAAAGGAATCACAGCTATTGAATATCATTGCACTGTACCGGGATGCGGAAAAACTTAAATCCTCGTGTTTCCATTGTCTCTGCAGGCGAAGTAGTTGCTGCCATTGTTGCCAGCGAAAGTACATAATTTGAAAGGCATTCGACACTCTACAAATTTAAAACACTTCTAGGAAACGAATTCTTATCATTCGTAATATTCGTTGTTAATATACAAGTAATGTTGATTTTATCGCACTTTCTACTGGAGTAATAAAGTTTCTTTGGTGTTTCCTGGGTTTATATGCAGATTTATGGATTATTTTTATTATCGGGCATTTTGTAATTGGTGATTATTATTTTGTGACCGGTACAAGAAATGAAATATCCTCCAAGTATAAATACTTTGTACCATCCTTGGCATTATGGCCTATTTGCAATCACTGTGAAAGGTCACTTATGCCTCTCAGTCATTCCTCCTACAGTTACGCTTAGGAGATTGATCTTATACAACTGGTTACATAAGAAAACAGTCACGCGGTTGTACGATGAATTACCCAGATGGATTTCTTAATAAAATTTTATAGATTTGTCTATGAGGTAGAAATGTATGATTCGTCATGTATTTGCAGGAAATAAGTAATTATATTCTCTATTGCTGATAGACATGGAGTTCTAATTTACTCATATATCGGAGTCTTGGTTTATGTTTCCCATTCACCGATTAAATTTTTCTTATTGTTCTCGATCTTCATAATACTGTACTGTAAGAAAGGAAGAAATTTCATAAGAGATCGTTTTTACGCAATTTACCCTTAAAGGAATCTTGCACTTCTTTATCGATGAAGTTTGACTTCTCAATGTACGTTTACCGCGTACACGGTCTTACATACAGGTCTTTCAACTCCGTCGGTGGGGGGTGATTCACTTACTGAAGTCGCGCCGTAAACGGCGCTGTGATCGAGTGCTCCTCGTGCGACAGAGATAGAAATAAATATTTCTCTCCCTCTCTTTAATGGCGCGAGTCTACTTTCCAGGTTATGTTGATCGAGCGCATTCGATAGTAGCGACACGTAAACAAGATGCCATACATTACAAAACTGCTTCAACATCTGTGTTACCCCCAACACTGAAATTCGAGGAAGTTTCAAGCCTGTATGTAAGACCGTTGCCGCGTATTTAACGAGATAGCGGCGCAGGTTCAATTCTTGTAGAGACTCGTATGCAAAGATCTCGTAAAAATTATTAGGATTCACGTAAAGTTATATTATAATTAAAATGAACGTCGTGCCAGGGACGGCATCGCTTCTCGAAGAACTTGATAGTACGTGCCGTTCTGTCATTCAGTCACATGTCAATAAATAAAGATTGTAGTAGGTTAGTCTGACAGCTAACCTCTCGATTTTTCGATTTGTAACATATTAATCATATTTTGTTTCTTTTTGCATATAGAGAAGCTTATGGTTTTATTAAGGGATGGTAGAACTCTAATCGGATATCTCAGGAGTGTTGATCAGTTTGCAAACTTAGTGCTACATCGTACTATTGAGAGGATTCATGTTGGTAAAGAATATGGTGATATTCCTCGAGGAGTATTCATTGTGAGAGGAGAAAATGTTGTACTACTGGGTGAAATTGTAAGGACAATTAAAATTTGTTAAGAATTATATTTGAGAGAATTCTTATGAGTATTATTTAATTGGTATTTGCTCTATAGGATAGAGAAAAGGAGAAGGATCTACCATTGTCTGAGGTATCGGTAGATGATATTCTGGATGCACAGAGGAGAGAACAAGAACTAAAACAGGATCAAGAGCGGCTTATGAGTAAAGCATTGAAGGAGCGTGGACTTTCATATATTCCTGACTTAGGACATGATGATATGTTCTGACCCATACCTTCTCTTCCTACTACCTCTCTTTCATCTTCTGTATCCTCACGCAGTTCCGAATAAGTAAGCATTATTCAAGACCATTTTTCATTTTATAGATTACCTACATAAGTTTCTCAAATAATCATGAATAAACTTGTACTGTACTATTATCTGATGTACATAGATATAATCTTAGAGTAAAAAAAGGAATCTACGTTGATTCATTATCACACATCATTTGTTGCAAAGGAAATGAATTGATATAACCAAATAGAAATGATCTTTGTATCTTGAATAAATAATAATCACTTCACATTTTGTTTATTTGACAAATGGGAACAATTACAATCACACACAGTAAGAACTTCTATATTTTTATTACCAACTTGTTCAGGTATACACCTTACTTTATGCAAAATACAATTATTTATAAAGCATATCCAACATGCTTTGACTTTTTGGCACTGCTAACATAATAAGAATTCGACCTTTCGATTATAATTTATTAATAAACGCGACAACATGTCTAAAGTATCATTTTCTTTTATGTCTGAATATGTCAACAGTTCCATTTATTCAAAACCAGTAGTTCACTCATGAATAAATTATCGGAGTCATGTCTTCCATTTACCTAGTTGTATATCACGTAGCAAAATATTGCTATAAAACTGAAAAAAATCAGCAAATGATTGAGTCATCATGTGACAGTTGACGTTAAATAACAACAACTTCAATAAGAAATATATAATAGTAAATGCAACATGGTACAAAATTTTAAATTTTAGGTGTTTTAACTTAATTTCGTTTTACTTATATAATAAGTATACACCCTTAATGGGCTAGAAAGATGTCTCTTGGAATGTTTCCTTGAGTTTTATTGAATTTATTGTCGATTCGCTTAGCTGTTTATTCTTCAGAGCTTGAGTTTTCAATTTGCTCGTCATTGTTTTTTCTCTGACCGATCGTTTAGAATCATTTCGCTGTAAGCTGGTGCCTCTTTTCCTAGGAGTTAGCACCGCGTCCTCAATCTTTTCCATGGAATTGTTAGCACTGTTCGTGCTGCCCGAAGCTATACCCGATGTATCGGATCCAGGATTATTACCATCTAGACAATGCAGTAAACTATCGGACAATCTGTCCTCGTTCAGAATGTTCAAATCCGATTCAGACTGTTCAAAATCGCCAGTGCGCGATGTAAAGCTAAGATCGACTGGACTTGCAGTGAGCACACTTCTAGATAACAAATATTCCCTGAAAGTACTCGTTATGGAAGCAGGACTTCGTTGCATGATAGATCCGTAATTGTCTTCCACAGATGTGACAAAATTTAGGTCTTCGCATTTATCGTCAGAAATATTATTCTCCTTATTTTCCGAGTCGGTGTTGTCTAATGGAATAATTTCACTACTGGTACTGTCTGCCTTTTGTGACTCTTCTAGAATGGAAGTGCAATTTTTGCGTCCAACGAGATCCACATTTGATCCGCGTAAGTTTGTCGTTGAACCATATTGTGACCATCCATTGTTGAGAGTCGCCAGATTGCAAAGGTTCGAGCCGGATACCATTATAACTGGTTTCCGAGATCGTGGCGTCATCATAGTTTCCTATTACAGAATTCAGATATTCAGAAATGTATATCAATATTCTGACTAATGACACATATACAGGGTGTTCCGAAACTACCAGACCCGGTGGGCATGGCGGTGTTCAAGAGGCTTCACTGATCACGAAAATGACCTTTTTGTCCGGAAGGTCATAGTTTTTAAATGGGAGCAGGTCAAAGTTTGATCAGTCAGAGGGAGGCGTCAAGAGAAAAGTAGGCACCTGCGAACTCTGAGTTTTCTTCCCCCGCTTTTGTTTCTCGGTGGCTTCGGGCAGGATGACGTCAACCGAAGACATGCCTATTGGAAACAAGAAACAAGCTACCGAGAAACAAAAGCGAGGGAAGAAAACTCAGAGTTCGTAGGTGCGTACGTTTCTCTTGACGCCTCGTCCTGATTGGTCAACTTTGACCTGCTCCCATTTAAAAACTAAGAGCTTCCGGACAAAAGGAAGGTCATTTTCGTGATCAGTGAAGCCTCCCGAACACCGCCATACCCACCGGGTCAGGTAGTTTCGGAACACCCTGTATGTACAGCAAACAATCATTAGTAAATTATGTTTTTCAATATTATCCGTGCAAGCTTCAATACACAGTATAAGCAGATTCATATTGGAACATTCATGATTTGTATGCAAGCAATTAAAATTAGAAGAATTAATAATTAATTAGGCAACAGACAAAATAAAGGAATGAATATATAAAAGAATGCAAGCAAATGCATGCACATACCTGCATGGCCTTGCTCATCTTAGTTGTACTTTGAGTAATAGGACTCATGCTTTTATCATGATCCGCGATAGGCGTCAATAAGTAATCATTAGTAACCAGGCTTCGTCGTAATAAATTCGATGGTGTTGATGTATGTGCGTTATACAAATTCCAAAATTTGTTCTTTGCCATTGGTGGGGAATGAATTGACGTGCTACTCAGTGAAGGATCTAACTTCGTCGGTGAACGCGTTGATTTAAGATCAGGCATCGAATTTCTTGGTGTAAAGACGACCTCTATGTTGGAGCATCGTGATACCGGATATATTGTATCCGAAATTTGTCTGACTAGTTCCTTTTCCTTTTCATCGATTTCATTAAAAGCGGTCTGTGAGTATAAGTCATTGGGCTCGCTGAGATTTCGCGACAAAGTTACTGTGGCAGAACGACTGATGTCATGAAGACTGCGACTCTTGTTGTTAGTGCATTTTTCGTCCATTGGTGATATTTTCTCTTCGGATTTTGTGGTGGCGCTAGTATCATCACTCATTATAGCTTCTTCCTTTTGTAATCTTTGTATGGATTCCTTTTTGTTGCCTTTAATTTGCCCCTCATCCTCTTCTCCAATATTTACAAAACTCATTAACATCACTTTTTTCTTTCCTTTATAGCTTGCTAAAGCAGGCGTATCCAAGCTGCCTGTACTATTACTCATATGCTTTATCTGAAGAAGATTCTCACTCTCCAACGTATCGGAATTATCTATGCTAAGTTCGTCGTCCGATTTACTGAATAGTGTTTTCGAGGGGAGCAGCGACTTTTCGAGACTCTGTGTGAAATGGGCAATCGGGCGGATTAGTTACGTTATGCGTGCAACAATCTTGTTAGTCATTTAAACATGTATGTAGGATTTAGGATACAATAAACAAAGTTTTTGTTTTGACAGTCCACGGAATACATTCAATAAAGGTATAGGAGTGTAAAAAATGTATATTATTGCTTACCGTCGATAGTATGTTTTCTTCGCTACTCGATCTGCTGATATTGCAGCCTATATTAATATCAATAAGTTTTTTATGACCCAGAAGTTTCTTTTGAAAGATATGTTTCTTTATCGAGTCTCCTAGACTTTTCGTTCTGTAGTGCTTCACTTGCCTGGGAGTGCCTTGGCCATTCTCCTTATTGAACTGTTTAACGAGTCTTCGCTTTTTTGCGGATTCAGGCATCGCCTGTATATGAGCATAAAGCTGGGCTAAAGCTGCCTGTGTGTCTTGTGTAGAATTCGCTTTAGCAGTTAGCTTGTGATCCACAAAGCTAAAAACCGTATGAGCTGTACTCGTTGCATCTGACGTTGATTCGTTCAACTAGAATCATAGAAAATTATATTTTGCAATTCAAGAATTAAAAATAATAAAATCAAAATTTCGTATAAGACATACATCGGTTTTTTTAGGACTCAATAATTTTCTCTCTTGTTCTACCCAATAAGCTCTGATATCAGTGGCTAATTTTGGGGGAATTTCAAATAAGTCCATGCCTTTTCTAATCATGAAAGCCACCAGTCCTGACAGATTCTGAGAGGTGATGTGCAGTGCCTCTGGAGATAATTTCCTTGGGCACATTAAATGAGGCGTAAAAAGTGTAGCCAGAGTATCACAATTCATTTTGTTACTGCATTCAAAAGTGGCTGTTTTGTTCAATAGTATTAGAACGTGCTTTAGTAAAGTCCTGTTCTCAGTCGGAAGTAACAATAACAGTAGCTGTAAAGATCGTAATAATCTTGAGTCATTTGCATTTGCATCCAAACTGTATAATTCTGCAAAATAAATTAGCAATGATAGTTTATTATATGAAAGGCCTTAAATACCATTTAATTAAGAAAAATTACCAGCTATCTGACAATGAGCAGGATAATGTAAATCAGTCAATAAAGGTTCTGGTAATTCTGCCAAGAATCCTTTCAATACAGAGGCACAGTCGTGAACACTAAAACGACCATCTTCAAGATCTAAAGGTACACCTTGGCATAATGCTGTCTTTAGGTCTTGTTGCCGTGTTAACTTTCCTGTTCGTCGAAATATTCCTTCCTGAACAATACCTAAAATAGTTGTTTTTAACAAGAGGAATTATTACTACATATTTATTTTAAAATAAATTGGCAGTGATATTTCATAAATTATTGGTAATCTTACTTTGTTCTTTTGACAGGTATTTGATCAATTGTTTAACCTGAATAATTCCCTCCTGAGTTAAAGCAATACCTTCCATTCCTTTCTGAAGGTTCATCGTCGACTTTGGCTTTTTCGAGAAGCTTAGTAAACCCCATTTCTTCTCTTTTGCTTTTTCTGCCACGCAATCACTGCTGAAATATACCAAAAGATTTATTTCAGTTAATTTATTACTAGCAAATAACATTAACTGTAAAGCTCTCTAAGTGATCAATGAGCAATCCTTTCCCAGAATGATAAATACTTCATATCCAACAAAAAATAATCCATCACCATGTATATTCAGAAGTAGCTGTAATAGAGTACCAACCAGAAACAGAACGGTTGATTACATCCTGTATTCAGCACAGAAGGACTCGAGGAACAAACTAGATTTTTAGCTTCACGCCAAACATTGCCCAATGTGTGTAAAACACATTGACAGGACGGAGCACAAATCTTGTCCAAACTAGATTCAAAACTATGTACACATTGACATGATCACATACTTCAAGCAAAATTTATAACACAATATATATAAAAATAAAGAGAAGAGACAAAACAATGGAAGATTATATCAAATACATATAACTAAAAACAATCTTTCCATAATGCATGCTAGATATATTACAACAATTTTTATTAAATGCCATTTAAATGCAATATGATTATAACTTTAATGTTTAAATTTTTCTTTCGATATCCTTTCATTCCTAATTGTCAAACATAACAGAAGATATTCTTGTGATGATATTCAATAAATGACATAACTCACAAAAAATCAATATTAATAAAGTAAAATAAATATTATAGAACAATGAAGAAAACGAATGCAGTTTTAAGTGTTTACAATACTCACTCTTCCGTATTAAGATCCAATTCAAAAGACAGGTGCATTTTGACAAGAGTATGAAATTGTTCTGGATTGACTTTTCGCAATCTCGATGCAAGTTTACCATCAACCCCATCGTTAAAATCTTCCATTTTTGCAGGTTGTTGAATAAAGAGCTAAATACGTTTCCTCATATTCGAATTTCGCCGAGTAGTACGCACGCCTAAGGAGGGCTTTCAACGGCGGTTATGTTCATACGAATGCATTTCACGACTTTCTTGCACAGCAATATAAACATAATAATTACACGTGAACATCGTATATCAACACACAATCAGTAATCGAAACAAATAAATATTCTTGATGAAATTATCGTTCTTTTCAAGGATGTAACGAATAAACATTCATACAATTCCCACCGGTTACACAGAAGCACCGACGGCACACCATAAACGACGGTCACGTGACCAATATGATCGCATTCGATTGGGTGAGATCCTCAAAGACCTAACTGTAATTAAGTAGTGTTTAGTGCACTTTATTAGGGTTATTTCACTGAATGCACCAAGAAAAGAATAAACATACAGTTAACTTTAAAACGAGGTAAATTTCAATTTGAATTCTGTCAGCCATTATATCTTTGTTTCTGCATTTCGAGCATGAGCAGAGCGTGTTATTTTTAAAATATTTCTTGTTTGCAGTTGTTTAAATCCAAATATGTTCATGCAAAAAATCAACTACTGTAATTGTCACTTTCGCCACACTTCGGAGGCACAAAAAGTAGTGTTATTCATGCATGAGTTACATAAAATAAAGAACAGGATCATTTAATGAATGGATTTATCGATAATAAAAGGAACAACGAAATGTATGAGTGATTTTTTATTATGATGTTAATAGTTTGCGGGTTATTAACAATCCATAGCATAAAGTCTAGTTTAATTATGAGTGTTTTATAATTTTGTATTTAACTTGAAAGTATCAATATTGAATTTTATAATTAAATGAAGCATAAGAATGCCGACTCACGATAAAATGAGTTTTTTTTATGCACAACTTGGAACATTTTTACTATATCTCATATAGTTTTCGCAGCGTTTAAACTGAAAGTTTAAAATCGTGGATCTTTTTATTATTTATGTTTTTTTTTTACAAAATCGTTAGGAATTAGCGTTGGACAAATGAATATACAGGATTAGTTAGTAGGAACGGACCAGCAGAAGTTGGCCGCAAGTGGCCGACACGGCAGTGTGGTCTCTTCAAAAAATGACATGTGACTGTGACCGATTCCCATAAGCGCAAACTGACAGTTCGCATAGCAATAAGGTATTTGAAATATTTCAATAGTTAGGTTACTGAAATAATTAATTAATATTGCAATGAAAAAATGTAATGTCAGATAAGATTTATTTTCACAACAGATTGCAATTAAAATAATGTAAATTTTAAAATATTCACAATTTTGATATTTCCAAGTAATGATCACAACTGCAATTCTGCAATACAATGCTGTAATTAATTTAAAAATTAATGAATTGAAATGTTTTTATAGCAAAACAGTGCAGCAAAAAAATCTGTTGTGAAAATAATCTTAATTGACATTACATTTTGTCATTACAATATTAATTAATTATTTCAGTAACCTAACTATTGAAATATTTCGAAAACCTTAATGCTATGCGAACTGTCAGTTTGCGCTTGTGGGAATCGGTCACAGTCACATATCATTTTTTGAAGAGGCCACACTGCCGTGTCAGCCACTTGCGGCCAACTTCTGCTGGTGCGTTTCTACTGACTAACCCTGTATATTAATATATATTGTAACGTGTCGTTACGGAACTGGGGGGGGGGTCCACCTAGGAATGACTGAAAAATAAATAAATAGGACTTATCAGGTGGGACAGTGGGTTCAGTGGCACAGTGGTAAGTGCCCGACTTAACAGTCCGAAGGTATCGGGTTCGAATCCCGATCAGAACTCTTAATTTCTCGGAAATTTCTAGCCCTTCTAGCGCTCCCTGGCGGCTCTGTGGATAAATTAATTATAGCGGGGTTGAGCCGGGCACCCCGTTATAATATACACAATTGCTTCTTACTACTGCATAAGACATGAATGATCTTTTCGACGTTATAATGAATTTAGAGGTAAAAAGTTGTTTAATTTTATTGACCTATATGTATATTGATTTTTCGGAACAGTACACGGCAACTACACGCTGGCTTCCAACCTTCGAGGTTTCACTGTATATAATTTCTTGAACGTACAGGGTTGCCACAGAATACCCTAATCTTTTATTTAATCAAAATGAAAATTTAAATTAATAACAATTAGAAATTTACAATAATTTTAACATAATACTTATCATTTTTAGTGGACTCATCATATAGACTGTTTGTGTTATTTCGTTCTTCAAATATTTATTACGTTACGTATACTCTCGCTTTTAGAAATTCTTTATAGGTAAGTAGAAAGAAATAACACATGAATAATACAACAATAGTATGTACCGATAGCAACAATTAATTTATCTATGGTTTCTGTTGTCAATAAATTTACACTACTGAATAATTATGCTGTAATAATAATTTTATTTCATATTTGGCAAAAATTTGTTACCTGAGGAGAGCCTCAATAAACGGCAGAAACGTTGTAAATTCTTGTCTTGTACATTTCTCCTAGTTGCTCATGGTTGACACTTAAAAATCAGTATCTCCTAATCTTTTATGTAATGTCCGATTGGCACGAACGTTTTAAAATAACGAAATGAAATGGATTCATGGCTTTGTACTCTGTCTTTTCTCGTTGCTCCGGTGGTTTGAATGGCAGTTCTAATCCACATATTAATTCGACTTCGTCTCAATCGAATTTCTTATTCTAGCTAACAGTCATTTCTATTTGTAATACAGTAATTACAGTGGGACCCAACCCTACACGGTTAAATTTTAGTAAGTAGTGCATGTGAGTTCACCATAAATCACCATATTCCATACAAACTATTTGCCGTACGTTGCGTTAGATGGTTTTGGATTCTAATAAATTCTTACAAACTATAAAGAACCCTATTATTAATATAATATAATACAAACTGGGAAGATTATTCGATACCAGATTGGTTGAAGTCCGATGTCTCTGAATGTTATTGTTCTTAGAGATGACTGTGACTTTTGTTGCCATCAACTCCCTCTTTTTTCTTTTTTATTACCTGACATGGCAAAAATAAAAACTCTTTTTTGCGAACAGAAGTTAAAAGAGGAATTATAATACATTCACTACATAGGATTTTCGATATCATATGCCGTTTAGCATAAAATTGCAAAGTGCGTTCTAACATTAACTGAAGAGGAAAACTCGGAAATTTATGATTTGGTGACACGCAAGTCTAAATTTCGCGGATACCTACAAATGAACTTCATCTATTGCAATGCTATACAAGGTGTTTCTTTTATCTCTGCCACCCGAAATAACTCGGTAATTTTCGATGTAACAACAAAATGTTTCAAACAAAAGTTGTACGGTGTGGAGGG